AAACAATACAGTCCCTTGTACACCCTCCATAAGAGCATGAGTTAATTACCCCCCCCCATCCCCCTCCCCCACCATGTAGCAATTAACAGGTGTGCGATAGACTTACCTCCACGTGGTGCACCCTGGGCAGCGTATACTCATACGTCAAAAAGTCTATTAATCGGCAATTGACTTCTCACTTCAAACAACCATCACCCCCACTGTATGTCATATTCGACCCCTACCACTACTCATCTTACCCTTTCTGAGCCTTTGTGTCTGTTTCTTTTGCATCTTTGAAACGCCCTTCTATTCCCCCTCCTGAATTCTTCTCACTTTGATGTTCTTCCTCTCCTCTGTGAAGCCCGAAGTCAAGTAAATGGCTAATGATAACTATCAAAACGCTTGCCATTTGTTATTAATAAATAAATACTTATTGAAACACTTGTCTGACAAAATTAATCTTTGTGTATTTATAGCATTACGTCTCGGAGGATGTAATAGTGAAATTTTTCCTGGAATAAAACGTCTGGCACAGGCCTGATATGCCACTAGCAATGGCCATATATAAGCTTCTAATAGGAAACTCACATAGTGCTCAACAATTTGAGCATCTATTTCCTCAGCCGATAGTTGACTCGGGTTTTTGGTTTTATTCATTGATGCTCCACATCCCTCGTTTAGGTGCATTGGGCAGGCACCTTCGTTTTCTTGTGAAGTCTTCTGCTGAGTTGATTGCACACAATTCGATTCAGTATCGCATTGTTGATCACAACAAGCACCTGGCGAGGTAACACTGGGTGGAGGTAAGGCTAAGCATGGACAAGGAATATTTGATTTGGTGAGACCAGTAAGAGTTGCCAGAACTAGTAAACGCGGTTTTGGTCGTTTGCCATTCAGCTCAATTTCAATTCGTTGAGTGAAATCCATGGGAAGTCGAGATATATCTATAAGGGCTCTAAAATGTGTAAAACATTAAACTTACTCCCTTTTCTTTGAGAAGATCAAATTAAAGAAAAAACGCTAAATGATCGCTCCATTTGTTTGTACAGGTTGAGATTTCCTGACCATTTAGATAATCAATATCGTCTGAGACTAATGCTTTACTGAAAACAAAAATTTGGAGTCCGAATTCTCTAAAAGTACATTTTGTTCTTTCGTTACCCCACTTGGTTCAATTCGGCAAGGTCATGAATCATCAAGTTGCAATCGATTTTCTAAGAGTTCAAATGGCAATTTGTTAAAAAGGAAATGAAACGCATATTCACTTGAATAAATCATTCTCATTACCCTCTTCAAGTCCATTCTTACCCTTTGAGCACCAACTCTACTTATTGATTGCACTATTTATTACTTTCTATCTCCTTCTACTTAATGCTTAAGATGATAATTGGTGACTCATAGTTTCTACTTTAGCATTTCTTTCTTCCCTTTTGGTTATTCTATAGACCACTGTAATTGAAATATGGGGGTGGTGGTGTTTCATATCTTAGAATTGGCGATCATTTTATGAATTAACCAAAATATATTGGGGGTGGGGGAGAGAATAACAATATGACTCATAAACATACTCTCCAATCTTCTCCGTTCCAGCTGCAGGGCCGGCAATACTTGGATTATGAATACACATTAGCTGTACCTCAATAAGACTATTTGAGTTACAGTTTATGTTGAAAGTGAATACTTGGTTCCAAACCGGATCAAAGGTCGATTTTTCAATCTGTGATGAAAAAATACTATTAGTTTTAGCTTATCCATGTGCGTCGGTGGGAAAGGCCATAATTCTATCGCTCTCGTACTTCATGAAACGACCATTAACATCGTCAAACGCCCAGATCAATGCTTTTATGAGTGCGAATATTTTTTGTATTATTACCAGATTTCCACTAATCCTTCTTTCAGTCAAATTTTTTTGCCATCAACCATGATTTGAGCATTTGCATTATTTTCTGTGTAAATTTCTATGAAATTGAAAGCTTTCCTTTGTGGTAACCAAGCTAAATAACAGTAAGTTATCTCTATTCAACCTGTTAATCGATGTATTTTGTATCGTATGAATGTGATGTATCATTCATTATATTTGCAGTGATTTCACCAATTGATAAGAGTTTGCCTCTTGCCTTTCCGTAAGGAGACGGAAACTCCCCTTTGTTTTAATTAATATTAAGGCGCGTATCAATCATTTGAATTTAAGGTGCAACGGGACCTAACGACTCGGGACGATGGATGGAAGCGCCAGAGTCCCACAAATAAAGTATTGGCCACTAGACCAGTAGCATTTTCGTCTGTAGCTAAGTTGTCGACGTGCTCCTCTGCCAAATTAGAGACCCCACTATCTCTGTTCATCGACTTACATCCCTTAACATTGTGAATGCCCTACTGCATTAATTTATTATTGACAACCGGTGGGGTGACAAAGTGTGTCAAGTGTTATTAACATTCCCATAAACACGCCACCAGAAAAAGAACTGATAATATAAGCAGAGTAAGCATAACCAACAGTGGTGAGATATTTATCCTTCCCCATTTGCAGTTGAACTTGTGTGGAGAGTGGTTGCACATGTTTCGCCATAGTTTGATAGTAAGAAATCAACCTGGCGGCCATCACACCACTTTGAATTGAGTCATACGAACTTCCATCTCTGCGGCATTTGCTAAGAAATTTCGCCAAGGGGATGGACTGAAGACCACAAGCACTGAGTACGTTGATGTAGAGAACAGCAGAATCAAATTGGCTGACCTGAGGACCAGATATTGGATCAAAATCAAGTGCAGTCACTCCACGTAGGAAGTGGGGAGGCCAGGGCAAACGTGGCGACACTAACTCAGTTGCCTTTGTCAGTGGATTTGTGATCACAACTACCTCACCAGGTTGGTATTCCAGAGGACTCCATCGGCGGGCATATACGCTGAAAGGTCGAGTCACAACATTCAGTTGGAGTAGCCCCAAGTATCTAGCCTCGAAGATTTGAACTCCAGACTTGAGAGGGCCAACAATGGCCGTAGTTGTGTTCAGAAGGTTTGAAGTTGAGGAAGATTTTTGCTTGGAATGCAGTTTGCGCTGTAGGAAAGAAGGCTAAGAGAGGGCAATTCATAAGACGAATTGTTATCGAAATGAGAAAGCAAGCGGGATATGCTAATTTGAATGCAATAATATTGTCTTCCTACAAATTTTACACAAGCAGAATTGCACAAGAGGTAGCGGCGCAAAAGGGTATATTAGATGAGCGAAATAGAGACACCAGTGTCTTAGTTATTGATCGAAAGTATGTGCAAGTTAAATATACGAAACAGATTAATTCACTTAAAAAGACCCAATGAAGCATGTCTAGAATAACGTGAAACTCGGGATAGTGGGGGTTGAGAACTTGGAGAAAATGATAAGAAAGTTGGCTAACAGGATACGGTCACATCTACATAAAATAAGTACACACGTGCGATTGCTTACAACAAAATGTCATTTAACTCAAATCACGATGCAGATTATACCTGCTGAACGGTTCAAGTAGAAGACTGTGCGCCAACGGGTCCTAATACCCATTGACTAATAGGAGACAGCAGTGGTGTAAATTGGTGATAATCCAATTTCTTCTGAACGATACTCTTGACCTAATGTACATATTATTCTATTTAATGTTAAAAACCAATTTTGGTTACAATTAATCTAGCCATGACTGGCCTTAACTAATTAGATTTTCTTTTAATTTAATACGTTTTAAAGCGGAATCAATGGCCTAATAGTGCAGGTTATAAAATTCGTGCATGTAAACTGCAAATATGACGCCAGTGCTGTAGCTAATGGGGTGTGAGGATAGATTAATAGGTTAAAGCAGAGGGGAAGAAGCAACGCCGTGGAAACGTGCAAGAAACTTAATTATCTTCTGGGGACTGGTAGACAATGCGTACCCTCTATCATGGACATTTCATAAACGGCGCGGCAGCAATTGTACGTTTCTTAAAACAACTTTGCAAAATATGGGATGCGAGTTGACCTCCCTTATCTCCAACAAGTGTTTATGAATTTAAAGTAGGTTCTTAATAGCGGGAAAGATTCCCTTCAAGAAGCCGGTACCAAAGGGTCAGTTCATAGCTTAATCCTGGGCCCTTTGTCAAGATTAACTCTGAAGTTGTTGGACCTAGACTATAACTAGCCGATTACCTGTGGGAGGTAAATTTCATATGCCTTACGACTTTGATTTAATTTTCCAATGTTTTCTCAGCCACTTCTTGAGCCTTCATCTTATTGAAAACATACTTATTTCTTATGAATTAAGAGTGCCTGAATACGAATTTGTGTAATTATAGCTTCTTTTTTTATAGCAATGCAATAATTCCGCTCTTTATTGTCATCTAGTTGTAACATTTTTATGTCAACGAAAGCAATGATTGCATTTCGCATGCGAAAGTGTTAGGAGCGGTTAATCAATATGAACATACCTTACGGGATCTATGACCACTCTCGAAAGAGCAGGACTTGGCTCCACACGGAGAGGAGTTATTGTCATGCAGGCAAACCTGCATTCGCAAAGTACCAATAGGCTTGGAACATCCCGGTGATAGAATTTCCAGATGTTTGGAATAGGTACTATGAGGAATAAAATTCTCGTAAATTAAAAAAAACATGATTTGAATCAATATATAGTTCAATATTAGGTAACCTAAGTGTACAGAACAAAAGCCCATCTTTATGGATAAACTTGTGCTGAATAAATGGGATTTTTTAATCGCTTCTATTTCATAGCACTTGCAAATAACTTGAATCGATAACTCTTGGAGAAAATTATTACTTGCAGGTAATTTTATCTCAGACTGCCATCTAAATAATCAATAATGCATTTTGGATAAATTTGTGATAGAATCGATTGGCTCTGGAGTTAGCATGTTCTTATTAACTTGACTATAATGATTTTCCACACAATCATTAATGCAATAAAATGATTATTGCTAAAATTATATTCAAAATGAAGTGGACAGTTAATTTGGGCCCTTCCATCTGAATGAACTGTGTGATAAAACGTGAGAAAGAAAAAAACTTCCATACTTACAAGCCGATCATACATTCATCCAAAGACAGTTCTGCTTCGCCCAGAGTTGTAAATCTTCCGGCTTTTCGGCTGCAGTACTTTAGCTAAAATTTATAATAGATCTTCTTCCTAGCTCATCAGAAATATGTGTTGGTGCATTGTAACGAAAAGTGTTTTATTAATTTTGATCAGAGGTTCACATTTAGTTCAATTTCAATCGTCAAAATCTTACCACAATGGGCTGAGAGATATCTGAAAGGGGTATATTGAAAGTCTCTTCCCAAACTTGCTGTGATGATGACGTTTTTGTTGAAGTCTTTCCAAGTGTCCACAAGTCCTGCTTGATTTTTATACATGTGTTCGTTCCGTCTATAAGAAAGGTAGAAGTAGATGATCCATTAAACTCATTCTTTCTGCTAACGCTCACGAAAGTGACCTTGTCTACCTAGTAAACCTTGATTATTGGCTTATTGGGTTATTATATTGCTGTTCTTCATGACTTAAGTGGAAGATTGGGAAATTGTTTTGCCTGCCGATGGACACTTAAAAAGTTCTCTTAAAGTTTTTTTAATGTATTCATGCAAATATCCGGCTGATTTCAGTAAATTATGAGAAGTAACGAACATGTGCAATATGGAGGAGACAAAACTGACAAAATCACGTGCTGAGCTCACACAGTTCTTAGCTTCTATTTCTCATATGATCGACAGTTTGTTCACTAGTGTCCAATACGTTGTTGGAATTTTCATTTTATCAGTACTTTAGTTCCATCGATGACACCTCCTTATTTGCCTTAATGAGATTGGAGGGGCGACATTGCAAACTAAATTAAAATATTGCCAAACTTGTAAAATATTGTATGGCAATGTGAATTACACCAGATTCGAATGAAAAACTATAGATCATTAGGTCACTACCACCTCCCAGGCTAAAGAAGTAGATATTTTCAGTCAAATCTCACCCTCATCACGAAAATATATAATGTAATCATTATAAAACGTAGGAAAACAAGAAAAGAAGGCATCAATTTCTGATACAGACTTACCTCGAACAATTCCGGTGTTTATGTCATAAACTGTGTAGATTTTCAATTCCATTATCCACCCGGGTGTAGACCCACCAAGTTGGCACTAGAATGGTCACAAGTGGTTAGGGAAGTTTAGAATTCCATTTTAAATTGGTGTTTGTGAGATATGGTGTGTGTAATATCCCTCATCATGCACTCGTTAAATTTAATGATAAGGATTTGCAAAGTTAACAAATATTTTATAATGCTTAAGTAATCAATTCCCATATTTCTTTTAAATTGTTATATTTTGTGCTTGAAATCCCTGCGTGGAGGCTGCTAAACAACTAGGCCCTTGATAAGTTTCCCATTTTGACTTCTAAGCAATTTTCCGGCAAATCTGACATTAGGTCGGAGAAATGTTGGTTTACTGTTTCATTGGGTGTGGACCACAGCTCTGGAAGTTCCGATAAAGGTAAAAAAGGTTCAACTACTGCTCTCTCAAACCTTGATCGAACTTCACTATTACAAGACAGTACGGTGAAATAAAGTTCATATTTGAAGAGAAACAATGCGCAACCGACAAATTTACGAAGTGAACGATTAAATGTTAATATGAGGAGGTTAGGTAGTGGAGTAAGAACTCAAAAAACAGCATTAAGGATCTGGACGTGAACCAACTGCAGAATTGCATGGAAATAAATGGTGAAAATCGCTGTTCCAATTAAGATTACAGTTAATTACAGATCAGAGGCAGTATTTCAATGAATGTCTTGAAGAGAAACCACAATTTAGAAAGCCCATATTTTAATGTCTAAAGCTAGAGAAGCGCTAATGACCCAAAATTCTAGACGCTGACCCATAGCGATATAGTTGGTAAACTGGAGTAATATGCAAATTTCAAGTCTATGTTTCAACAAGTTAATGAACAATGGAAAGTGAGTTTAAGATTTATCTGTTATTAGGTGTGTGCATTAGTGAATATGGATAGCATTTTGTTGAGTTCACTCCTTAGCCACAGGAATCAAAACTCAAACGATAATGCAGTCTGTCTAATAAAGCATTCAGAGCGTAAGAAGTTCAACTACACTAAAATAGCTATTTCTGCGTCTATTTACCAATATTAACAAATGATTGAAATAAATAAACTATTTACTAGGCTTGTGGTGCTCTGACTTCTGCGTCCAAAGAGTCGCTTCCGAGGCAAAGTTGATTCCTTATCAGCTCCAGTCGATTGATAGTCCTCCAGCAAATAAGTGAGTGGTTTGAGAAAAAGATCCTCAAAAGACCCAGTTTTTGACTCAGCCTCCGTGCCACTAGTACCAATGTGAGGGGAGAAGCAGCTAATGATGCCAGGAAGGATATCTGCTTTGAACGAAGGTGTTGCGTCATTGCATGACCTCATTCTCTCTCGTTTGTCGAATAAATTTAGTCGATTTTTATCTCGTGAACTTCTAAAACTACTCATTTTCAGAGTTCAGAAAGTTGTGTTTGCGGTTGGTGGTTAATTGGACTACCCTTCTGAGGAGAAGAAGGTACTAGTGAATTAATCTGCGTGTGGGGTGTGTGTGTGTGTGTGAGTGCATTTTTTATTTGGCACCAAAACCATTCACCTGTTGTCACATGCAATGTCACCGCCAATCAGGGAGTCGACTCTCTCAATTAAGTTCAATTTGCACGTGCAGCGCACTGCTTCTTTTTGTTCTATTGGTTGAAGTCGACCTTGAAAATAGTGCTATGCGAAATGATTGGGGACTTCTGATTGGATGGCTATTTTAACATTTACTGTGCCTCATTCAAATTGACCATCTGAAATCGGTTGGTCTTCCATTTTAAAAAAAACATGGGCATCGAAATTAATAACGAAGATAATACTACTTATTATGATTAATATGGGTGTGGGATAGACTTACCTCTACGTGGTGCACCCTGGGTAACGTATCCTCATACGGCAAAAAAGGTCTATTAACCGGCAGTTGACTTCTGACTTCAAACTACCATCACCCCACTCTATGTCATATTCGACCACTTCAACAGTATTCACCTCACCTTTTTCAATTTACCTTTGTGTCTGTCTCCTTTACATCTTTGATACTCTTCTGTCCCCCCCCCCCATCTCGACTTTTTTTCACTTTGATGTTCCTTCTCCTCTGTGAAGCCTGAAATCAACAAAAGGGCTATTGATAACTCTCAAAACGCTTACCATTTGATACAAATAAATGCTTGAAATTGAATGCTAT